GTCTCGCCCGCGCCTTCTGCAGAGGGCCTGATTGACCAGCTGCTGCGGTACTGCTTGGACCAAGAGGATCACGACCGAGCTTATGTCAAGTTCAACAATGACGACGAGACGATCCTCCTTGTCAGCAACTTCGGAGGCATCTCCTACCTGGAAATGGGCGCTCTTGTCGACGAGCTCCTCGAGCAGCTTGACACCAAGTGGAATATCAGACCGTCGAGAGTGTACTCCGGCCCTCTGGAAACCTCTCTCAACGCACCTGCATTCTCAATTTCCTTGATGAACATCACAGCAGCATCAAAGAAGTGCAGTTTCTCAGCAGAGCAAATCTTCCGATTCGCCGATCTCAAGACCAACACACACTGGGAGTCGATGGCTGGCGCTCAAGCCGTCCGCCGCGACAGGAAACTCCAATTCGTGCAGTCACCTCCTGAAGAGCCAAAGAAGATTGAGGCAGACCGCGACGTCAGGATGGACCCGGCAACGCTCAAGTCCATGCTTAACATGGCTTGCCAGGCAGTCATCGAAGCCGAGCCCGATCTGACAAAGTGGGACATGGTGATGGGTGACGGCGACTGCGGTGAAACCCTGAAGACGGGCGCTTCGCATCTCCTTGATGCTCTAGACAACAAGGGTATCGCGGCCGAGGGATCCATTGTCTCAGTTCTTCACGAGCTAGAGGACATTGTTGAGAGCAAGATGGGTGGCACGCTTGGTGGTATTCTCGGCATCTTCTTCGTCTCGCTCAGCAACTCCGTAGAAGAGAACGCCTCGCTGGCAAAGTCGCAAGGTATCTTGCCTCTCTGGACACTGGCGCTGACGTCTGCTCTTGAGCACTTGAGTCATTACACACCCGCCAAGATCGGAGACCGTACGATCCTGGATGTCTTGATCCCCTTTGTTGATGCAATTCGCAGCAAGGGTTTTGAGGGAGCTGTCGAGGCAGCGGTCGAGGGAGCCGAGTACACGAGGAAGACAAAGGCGAAGCTTGGTCGTGCGACGTATGTCGCAGCGTCTGGAAAGGATACGTCTTTCCACCCCGACCCTGGTGCCTGGGGTGCAATGGTTGCCATTAAGGGCTTGCAATCCGGCATGGCTTGAGTGGGAGCTTCCTGTTCTGTACCTTCATTTCCACATATAATTTAGCGTTAGACTTGAATTTACCAAAACTCTTTGTTTTCAATTCCGCTTCATTCTCTGGCAACTCCGAGAACGGACATCACAGGCCTTTCAATGAAACTTCCGCTACTTTGGCCAAAGTATCGACAAGTTCATCATCGTGAAGCCTCACTTACGTACTCACTCTAGCCCAGTCTCTCCAGACACCATTATCAAACACTAGTAGAAGTGATATATAACTGGCAGTCTACCTTAGAACAATTTGTAGTTTCTTGTCGATACCATGGCTAGATGGTCAACTATGACGATATTATCACTCCAGGCCTTGTGAGTATTTGAGTAAGGACGGAGCTCTATAAGATGCTGGTTGTAGCCTTTACTTCGATCTGTGGCAAACGAATAGGCGCGCCATACACTCACTATAGACACGAGGAGAGCTGTCAGTCATCAGCCTCATACCCAAGGCCGCGACGGCACTCTAAATTTCTGAAACCGGCTCTGATCGAAGTAGTAAGCTGCAGACATCGGTTCTGAGCCTATTAACCCTGAGGCCAAGATCCACCAGCGGCCTCGGAGCTGGTATGACAGCATCGTTCCGAGTTGACTACATCATCCCGACGCTTGATTCGCCAATGGATCAAAGATGCCAGGGGCTCCAGCAAAATGCAAGCACTTTACACATGGTGGACTAAGGCTCTACCCAGAAGCTTAGCTCTCTCATCTGCCGGCGAGCACCCACGCTGCCGGGACGCGAGTGGCCGTTCCTGAGGGCGCCCAAACTGCCGGGAAAGACAGGGAAGCAGCATAAGCCATTAGACTGTCAAGCTGTCAGGTCCTTGTGGCAGATCAGATTGACCAATGGAGGTAACAGGGTGCCACTAGCCAAGCTGGAAGAGCCTGAATACGTGAAATATGCTGCAGCTGAAAGCTGTTCAGTACTTAAGTTCACAAGCACTCTATTCTAGAAAGGATTTCTCACTCAACAGCCGTGTAGGCTTTAGGTAACTTGATCCTTATTCGAGAACGCTCATCACAGCCTATAGGCTCTTTGGCAGAGTCTCCTTTTTACTAGATCACTTCATCAGCATCGGGCTCATACATACGAATCCCACTTAGCATAACTCCCTTTGGTTCAGCCAACGTTCAGTACGGTTTGTTCATCACATGTATCACTAACGACACGCCTGTGTAATCTCGGCGCAAGTTGTATGAATCTGCTCGTTATTACGTTCTCACCGGCTCATGGCCCAACCTGCCTAATGAAGAACTCACGATGGCACTGCCCTCGTTCGTGTTGACCGGATGACTTCGGTTCGGGGACTCGGCTCGGCGGAGGCTCCGCTCCCGAACACACGCCAATCTCCCTAGGGCAGGCATGGAAACCGGGGTTCTAAGTGTCAGCGGCTCGACTTTCTCAAAAAGACGTAACATCAGAAAGACCCCTTTCCCCAGGATTGCGGAAAAGTTTTGCCACGTCTCCGCACCGTTCGCATTGGCTGCGGCTCACATCCGGGGCATTCTTCCGGGAGGGGGGAAGCCGTGGGAACGTGAATGATTGCCACATTTCCGCAGGCTTCGTATTAGTTATGACACACTCCCACCGTCCGTCTCTCTGACCCCCCGGAGGAAAAGCTGTACACATGAACACATGTTGCGGGGCCTGCCCCGCATAAGTGTTCCAGCGGCCGGGTCTCTTGGGTTGCTGTTCGAGGCTTTGAGCTGTTCGAGCTTACCGGGAAGCTTCAGCTCTTGGCTTGTTTCTTGATGTGGTCATGCGGCCTTGATCTCCTGAGGTCCAGACTTTTGGATATTGGAAGGAAAACTGGGACATACCAACCTCAACGTTGCGGATGTTTTGTTGTTGGATGAGACTAGACCCGGAACTATGGGGGCGCTTGAGGGTCCCGGGGAAATCGTATGCGCCGGGTTACCTATTTAGGCAATCCGAGGTCCGGGGGCACAGACGTGATCTCAGTGGCGGGTTGACCGGGTCAATCCTTTTGAGTTCAAGGGGATCCAACTTGCGGAGTCTGGGGGTTCGCGGGGGCAAGGTTTTTTGGGGACTTGAGGCTCCTATGAATGGGCCTAACGACGTTCTGCTCACCGTGAGTTTTTGCAAACGGATAGTTCAATGCTGACACCGGGAGTTGGGATAGACTGATACACGCATCTCAAAGTCGATTGCCTCGATAATGGAATCTGTACGCAAAATCATGCCGAGATCGGAGCCATGACAAGCCCATGCGTACAAATCAACCCGGGCCAACAACTGACAAGACGGGAACTGAAAGAGCCAAACACTCCACAAGGATGTCTTACAAGTCAAACCCCTGGGAGTCTGTCAACTTTTCCCGTTTGCCGTTTGCCTCCCCCTCATCCTACGATTACCCGGACTGCCCGGCGTCTGGTGTCCGGTGTTCGTGCCGCAGTGGTAGCTGCCGAGAAACAGCTCTCGCCTTCCACGTACCTCTTTGCAGTGCCAATGCTGTTGGTTGACGACAATTGGCTGCCCTTCTCCAATGACACGGGCATATAGCCACGCTTACCATCATCCTTACCTAGGGGGGTGTGTTGCGATTTGTGCTGGGACGAAGGGTCCTAATCCGAGATGGGTAAGTCAAACCCCCCACTTCCTGGCACCCCCCTGTTTCTGGCACCCACAAAAACGATGGGATCACAACCCAACCTCCTCATTACTATTAACTATTGATCCTCAACCACACCCACTACAATACAACTGCCAGCCTCACTAGGGCATTCAGAGTCGCTGGATTCAGCCGTAATAACCTCCTTTTCACCCGCTTCGATTTGAGCCCGATGGATATCCCTGATGTTCGCAAACTTCGTGTTGGGATCGATCTGAACAGTCTTCCTCTTCCTAACTGCAGCGTTGGTAACTTGAGCCCTCAGGTGAGCCAGCTGCTGCTGGGCAACTGCCAGTTGCCAGGCCTGCTCTGTGAAGCCTTTTTTCACCTTCCTGAACAGCAGCCGTTGAGTGCTGGTATCATTGTCGAGTTGGGTGTATAAGTGCAGTTGACCGCTGAGCTCTGCCAGCTTCCTGGGTGTCGACCAGACCACTGCAGAGGAAGCAGAATCCCATGGCTCAACAGGGTAGTTTGTTGACCATTATGGCATCGCTTTTGACTGGTTGGTTTGGGTGTGGTGGGCTTAGCAGAAGGCTCAGGTAATACCATAGGGTTCATCAGGGCTTAACCATCGCTACAGGGTGTAGACCAGTCCACTTCCAACCACTTCTGATGTTCGAGACTGATAGACCAGCAAGTCGAGCCTTCTGGTAACAGTCCAGGAAGTTCCTTTTACCTATAATGGTAGAGTCGTTCCATTGAGACAAGTAACCGAGCTCCTTCCGATAGGCTGACTTAACAGGGCTGAAGACAGACTGGTCAAGTGGCTGGAGGACATGAGAGGAGTGTGGTGGTAAGAACAGTAAATGGATATTGTTAATATAGCAATTCCACATGAAGTCTGTCGTCGTATGACTCCCATGCCCATCCACAATCAACAGTCGAGCCTCGCCCTCAGCCTCGGGCATAGTCTGTGGGATAAACACCTTCTCTAACCATTCAATGGCAGTTAAGTCTGTAGTCCAGCCATTATCTGTTGCTGTAAACTCCCACATCGTATGGAACCAGATGTAATGGAAACCACTGTTGTTGGACCGTCTTCCTTGAAAATGATAAGAGGACGAAGTGCCCTACCCAAGGCTGAGATACACTCAATGATAGAGACCCATGCCCTCCAGGTTGTTTCTTGCGAACAGACGTCGTCTCAGCCATGCCCAGCACTAACCCATTAGCTCCTGACCCTCGAGGATGCCAGTCTCATCCATATTATATCTGTTGGCTGGTTTGATGTCCTTGATCTCAGGGATAGCAAGGAACAAACCAGTTCCTAATGACCTCAGTAGATGCCCCATTAACGCGTCTAGAATCGATGGAACGACTTCTCTGAACCTTAATGATAGGGTTCCTTCTCACGAAGGCATAGATCCAGCCTTTTCCTAATGGTTTGGTATCCCCAGCAGCAGCCAGAACTCGCTCTGCGAATTCCTTCACCTGTTGGTGCGTTGGTGCGAGGCCCAGCGAAGCCTGAATGCGAACCCATTGTGCCAGCTTACTCTCCTGGTCAGGAGACAGCCTCTGCCAGTCAGCAAAAGCCACTTTCCTAGTCTGACCACCTTGGAGACGTAGTTGGAGGGTTGATCGTGGTATCCCATACTCCAATGAGGCTCTCTTTTGACTCTTGCCGTTTGAGATGTCCTCGAGAGCCTGACGAAGCTGATCTTCGGTATATTGAGGCATTAGATATAGAAGAAGGTATGTGCAAAAAATGAGCCCATTTGGACTCGAATTGAAAATGTTGTGATAAAAGGAGGTTGGGGGTGGGCATTGCGTTGTGGTGGATTTTCGCGTTTTTGTGGGTGCCAGAAACAGGGGGGTGCCGGGAAGTGGGGGGTTTGACTTAATGCCGGGGCCTTTTATGCCCGCCGTTTCTGATCTTAGAATAGCAGATCGTGACCAACAAAACAAAGTTAGCTGTCGTGTGTTGCACTTTTTTCTGGGCCCATTATACCCCCACGTACCTGACTTTGCTGCTCATCGTGACCGCTCTCCCCCCCACGAGATTCAAATCTTCCAATTTTCTCTGATACTTGCTCCCACATCCTACGCGCTGACTGGTGAAGGAAGAAAGAAAGAAAGAAAGAAAGAAAGAAAGCAGACGCAGCTGAACAACCTTCGACAACTCCAATCATGACCCGAGACCGACACGCGAGCCGCGCAAGTTTCGCATGCGTACGATGCAAGAAGGACAAGAGACGATGCGACATCTCTCAGATTTTGAGCTCGGGGGACCGAATGGACCGGTCCTGCACCTCATGTCGAAACAAGAACGAAAAGTGTGAGGTCCGCTACGGCGAGGATAAGCGCAGTCAACGACAACCGAACGAGACCAAGGCACTGCAACGGCGAATGCAGGCACTAGAGGAGTTTGTCAAGAACGTCTCCAAGAACCCAGAGCTCCCAGTCACGCGGCATAAGACGGATGAAGATTCGGATTGTCTGATGGAACAGGCAAGACGGACTGTAGACAACTACCAGGATGCGAGGATACGTGCCTTCCCAAGCCCTGCCAGCTCTTCAAGTCCGGGGACTCAAAATATGACGATATCGATCTCTCCTCCGGAGGGAGGACAGACGAGTTGGGCTGTGACGTCGCAACAGGAGCTTCACCCCGCCTCACACTCAAGATCTGTGTCATTCTCGGGGCAAAACAGACCAAAGACCGACGACATTACACACAATGGCATCCGATCGATCTCCTTCTCAGGCCCCAGCAGGCCAGACTTTGACTGCGCGTCCGAGGGCTTCCCCCCCGTCATGGAAGAGGTTGGAACACCCGATAGCATGCAAGACTTTGACCAATTTCTTGGCTCGGCGACTCTATTCCCGTACTCCGAGAACCAGTCGCGATCAAGGAGCCCACGAGGGGAAGGCTCTTCTTTTGAGGACGACACGAGCAGACAAGCTCGCGGTGCTCTCGAATGCTTCCCCGAGCCAGAACCAATTGTGTCCCATTTGCTAGACCTTTTCTGGAAATGGCAATCATCTCACCTCCTTGTCGTTGATCGTGCTTTATTCCTCCGTCATCGGGAAATTTGGGACGATAGTGAAGGACACCGCGGCGATCGAAACTATTATACCCCATGTCTGTTGTATGCAATCATGGCTCTGGCATCGATGATAAGTCTTGACAAGGGAGTCGTGCGATACTCTACTTCTACCGGCGGTGTTGCTGGAGAGACTTTTGCGAAGCGAGCACGCTCAATGTTTGATCTAGAGATGGACCACCCGACCATCTCCACTGTCCAGGCGGCTTTGATACTTGGTTCTCGATATGGAGCCATGAAGGACAACTCTCTTGGTTGGATGTACAGTGGTAAGATACTTTTTAAGTCACAAATATATGTCCATCCACTGATGTCTTTACTATAGGCATTGCCTTCAGAATGGCGAGTAAATTGGGCCTCCATCTGGACTGTTCTAAAGCTGTTGCGTCTGGCAAGATGAGCCAAGAGATGGCCAGTCTTAGAAGGAGAGTATTCTGGGGCTGCCATATTGAAGACAAGTAAGTACACCAATCCATACTTGACCATTCCCAGCAGTGAGTCGAGTGACTAACATTCGGTTGTGATCAGCCTCTTCAGCGCTTACTGTGGGCGACCAAACTCCTTTATGGAGTGGGATATCACCATTCCCATACCTGAGCGAACCTCCAAAGGCGTCGGCAAAGACGAAGCCGAATCGACTTCGTCACTTTTACATCACACCTCAACGCTCTCAGTGCTGTGTTCTAAGATACTAATCAGTATCCACCGTCAACGGCGGCACTCGTCGACGAGTGAGATGAGATTGAAAGCATCCCAACTTCACAGAGCCCTATGGCAGTGGCATCACGATCTCCCTAAGAGCTTGACATGGTCCAGCGATTCCAATATCCTGGCACAGCCCCACGTCTTCATCTTGCAGTAAGTATATCCAAGACTTCGTGTGATCGTACCAGCCAAGCCTTAAGTACAGGAACTAAAGAAGCACGCAGAATGAACTTCTACTTCGCTCTCATTCTACTTCACCGGCCATTCCTCCGATTGTCTTCAAAATTCCTCGACGTCGACGACATGAGCTCTTCGGCTCTCAACTCCACACACGCATGCGCTACAGCAGCAGCAAACATCACAAAGCTCGCAACGACTTACAGACGATCTTTCAACATGCGACAGATGCCGCCATCGATCGTACACTTCGTCTTCATCGCGGGTAGCATTCATCTCCTCAACCTTCGTGCAGGACAACCAGGTAACCACGAAGCTCTTCTTCAGAGTTCTACTGAAGCCTTGTCCGAGCTCGGGAAGTCATATCCAGTGGCGCAGAAAGCCAGCTCCGAGTTGGAAAGCTTGATTGAGAAGTGGAGGTCCGCGAAAGAGGCCGAGAAGAGAGTCGCGGAGACAAGTAGGGTGGCGCAAGAGGTTGAGAACAGCATGAGCTCTGGGTGTGCGATTCGGCCAGGGGTATCTAGATTTCTCGACATTGATTTTTCTCCTCTGGAAGAGCTTGGGGAGTTTATGGATTTGAAAAAAGGCCAACAACCTGCTACGAAGTCTGTGTTTGATATGCCGGCTGATATCGGCTTCCACGAGCAGCTATCGCTGGATCAAAACGGTAATGATTGCATGTTTCTGGACCAAGATTGGCTTCAGGATGGAACAGGATTTGAGAGCATGGACGGAAGCGGCTGTCCATGGATGTACAATTAATGACGAAAAGATGTAGAGCTGCTAGATGCGCTGTATACCACGAATTTGGAGTCTTGAGACGAGCATTTCTAGTCCGTGGGTGAGATGTGAACAGCCAATATGAGATCTTAGATCGCCGATACATTCTTAATAATGGCGGGGTTGGCATATCTCATCCTCGATGAACCGGCATCTCATGCTGGACAACACAAGAGCCTAAATTACAAATCAAGACCGTGGTGCTGCCGCAGGATGGTAATCACTTGAAAGACATAGTCTTGTGCATCAAGAGAGTTCGATGTTCGACCCCGGGCTTCTTGACCTCGGGAGCAACTTGAAGTTCTCAAGTGTCGTCGAGTCAACACTGCTACGGAGTCAAATGGTGACTCCCATGTTCAGACTAATTGAAGTTCACTTCCAAGAATAATCATCGAATCTCTGCTCGGGTGTCATTGAGGCCGATTTTCGGATCCGAATGATTTCAAAACTTGCTCTGCAAATACAGACAACATGCAGATTCCGAAGATAAAGGGCCAGTCCGGTCTCCCACCGCTGTGAGCGGACTGTAACAGAATCAACGAACTCCACCAAAGGGGTCGTTTTTGCACTAGACAGCGGTCACACCGTCTAAGTCCACGATTATCCCTGTCAACTCTAATATCTGAGCCCCCTTTCAATCTTTGCCGGAACTTGCGGAAAGAGCAACATCCACTACACGACATGAAGAATACATGTGCTGAGTACATAAGTCCGTGCTTGTAGTGAGAATTCCTAAGCTCGGAGGACTTTAGAAATCAGAAATAGCGTTTAGAAATAGGAATTGGACCGCGCGCATTTGGTTCAATGGTTCGCGAGCAAATAAGCTGAGACCTTCTTACATAGGCTAGACTGCACAAAGTAAAACCTTATCTAATATAAGAGAGTTCTCGGAACCCCATGCCTCATTTCCTTCAACTTGATGATGGGGAGATTTTGGGATGTTTCCTCACAAAAAAGCGTAGGAGAATATGACTTCTCCCCGGTAATGCGGCACATTGTCAATTAACGTTTCCTAGCGCATTTGCCTGACTCGGTGCACGCGTACGAGACGCCCATGATAGTCTCTGCTTTAACAGAAATTGATGACTGCTATGCAATATAAATCCATAACGACCCCGAGTCGCGATGGTGACAGTCTGAAGATTAGGCTAGGTTTTCTGTTTTAGGAATTGTCAGTGCCCTTTGGGCAACATTTGCAATCATGCCTCGTCACTCTTTTATCAAGTCACTCTTTTTTTCGTCTTTCATTCTCACATCTCTGGCCGGAAGAGGTCCAGTCAAGCACCCGAAACCGTACCATGAGGTGCCACAACGCTCCGGCAATGACTATACTGGATTTCCCGATAGCACAACTACAGATCACTTGAATCCTCGACAGGAAACGACCGTTGATGGCCTAACATCCATCGACACCTTCACTTACAACGGGGAAACATGGACTGCGTACGAAGACATCACTCGATTCGATGGCCCGCTCGTCTTGGTGTCTGCTTCTGGAACTCGCAGAGAGATTAAGCGATACGTTGAAGCCTCCACGGACGAGTCTGTATCAATCAACCGAACAGTGGACGCATATTTTGGCCTGGATCCTGCAAACGATGTCAATCTCAAGCAGAATGACGTGTTGGCAGAGCGTCTTCTCCAAGATGGCGAACCTGTTGAGGAACACGTTCGCGACGTCATCGACCTGTCCTTCCTGCCATGGGATGTGTACCTTGGAAACGTCCAGGCTAATGATACGATGGCCCTGGACTGGCAGTCCATGACAAAGAACTACGCACCCTGGAATGACATGTCTGAGGCTGCAGACGGAACTCACTCTAATTACACTTTCGATGGCTTGCTCAACGGATGGATGCCTGCTTCTCGAAAGATCTACCGGGGCCTCGTTGACACAACCGACTGGGTCGATATCACTACATTCGCCGACGTCGACTCCCCAGATCCCGATATCGTTCACATTTGGTTCTCTATCAAGTATGTCAAGGGCAGAGTCCTGCGTGCACAGAAGTATGCTCTGGATTACAAGCAGTTCCTGCCTTTGAAGGCGCATCCTACTGCCAATGACTTTTACCCTGCTTTGATGCGATTCGCCGATTACTGGGACTCGCACGTAAAGGACGAAATATCTTTGACCCTTCCGGATGAGAGCTGGTCGGATATTGGAAAACATGCCTTTGCTGTAGAGCTTGTTGGTCGCGCTGGAGGTGTCACTCCCAGATACGGTGCCTTCGAACGCGACTACGGCGGATCAGAATACGACGGCTTCCAAGACATCATGACCATGTCGCTCACGGCTAACTTGGCCTGGGGGCGATTTGCCCAGGCCAAGGCCATCCTTGAGAACTACATGGACTGGTATGTCTACGATAATGGAGCCATCAAGATGCGTGGGCCTGCCGTGCCCCAGTTCGGCATGTCACTTTCTTTGATCGCACGCTATGTACAGTACACGGGCGACACCGCGTTGCCGGAGAAGTACAAGACGAAGATCCTCGCCTGGGCCAACATGCTCACCACGCGCCAAGACGAGAACCTGAAGCTCCCTGAAGACGATCCATACTACGGCCTCATTTCTGGCTGGAGCGAATCTGATGCGGCACTGAGAAACGATGCATGGCGGTTCGAGAAACCGTACTGGAACAACGCAGCGTTCGCTGCTCGCGGTCTTAAGGATCTTAGCAAGATTGAGACATTTGCCGACCATGCCAATGACTGGAACACCCGCGCTGAACAGCTCATTAACCAGACATCCCTCAAATTGGACCAATGGATCCAGAGGAACTTCACGCCTGCCTATGTTCCTGTCCTGCCGAATGAGACAACCCATGTTCTCGAGGACCTGGCCGAAAAGGGAGATGCATCCTCTCAGTGGTGGCCGCACCGGGTCTACTCAGAACTGCTTCAAGCATCAGTGCTCTCATCAAACCACACTGACATGGTAATTGACTCCATGCGCGCCTACGGAATTACTAGCGTGGGTGTTGTTGCCAACGTGACGCCCCTCAGGTCCGATACTCGCGACATCTTGGGCTTCATTTCATATGGCTACGCCCTTTCGTTGCTTGTCCAGGACCGCCTTGATGAGTTCGTGCTCTTCTTGTACTCTCATCGTTATCACGTCTATAACAGGGGCTTATGGCTTGCGGCTGAAGTTGCCGGAACTGGAGGTGGTTCCAGCACATACTGCCAGCCTTCCCAGTTTACGGTTCCCGTCTTGCTTAGGGCAGCACTGTTGTTCGATCACCCCGACAAGGATGCTTTGCTAGTTGGACGAGGCGTTCCGAGGAAATGGCTCAGCAAGGGTAAGGTCGGAGTGCAGAGAGCCCCGACCAAATGGGGATCAGTCGACCTCGATATGCAGTTGGACGAGAAGGCGGGTACCATCACGACGGTTCTAGGTTTCAGTAAGGCGCCTCCAGCTGAAGTTTGGGTCAAGATGCGGATTCCGGAAGGGAGTCAACTGAAAAATGTCACTGTCAACGGTAGTGCGACGGAGTGGAAGGGAGAACAGGTCATATTGAAGCTTGCCTCGACGGCGCGTAGTGCTACTGTCGTGGGAACTTTCTAGGCGCTGGTTTTCGATTGATAGAGATGATTACACATCTATGTCCCATTCAGAGCACCGATGATTGTAACGCGCCCCCACCGCATAGGCTAGCTTGCACTCCGTACTCCAGTCACGCGGTAGGGGTCGTGTCCTCTTCTCTTGACTTGTTCCTCCTCCTTCCCAAGTTCTTTGGTCCAGAAGGCTCCGTGCCTTAGTCTTTGTAACTCCGTAGAATCGGCGCACTGGTTTGACATTTGATGGCCAAGGCGAGTCTGGGCCAGAATTGTTTGCAAAGATGGTAGAGTCCAAATCTAGGATAAGGTAATCATCGTTGATGAATTGAACCTTCACTTTGTGACCTTCGTACGAGTGATCTGACTTGGTGTTGTAGAGCCCTGCGGTTCGCGGGCAGAGGAAGTCGACGAAGCCAATGTTGAGGCGACCGATAGTAACCTCCCCTTCCAAGAGGGTTGACTTCCTCGTGATGAAAGACTTCGTTCTTTTGATGGCTTCACGTGCTTTCGCAGTAATACTTTCAGGAGAATCATAATCTTGCTCCCAAAAATGAACACCCCATGACCCATCAAACGGATTATCCATGTCGAGGGCGTTGTCCGAATCCTCTTCAGCGTCTTGGATGCTTGTCCATGTGTCGATCTCATCTGGATCCAACAAATAGTAGCTGAATATAACATCTCCCCGAGTCTTTGGGAGTTGGCGGAGTGGTAAAGTTTTCTTGAGTGATGCCTTCTGAAGCGCCGCGCCAATTCCCTCCCGGATTGCTTTCATTGCCTTGCGTACCTGTGACCTTTGCCCTTTGCTGAGTGCATGAGCCCTGTATGCTTTCTTCCGCAATTGAATTTCGCTTTTGTACTCCTCGCGACTGATATTCGCTTTCTTGACCAAGTCGTCTTCGGACGTTCTGCAGATCATGTCGTACACTCTATCTTGATACGCCAATCTTCTCTCATCGCAATCACAGCCGGCGTCGTCTTCACCAATGGGGCAAACGCGATAAAGAGATTCATTAGCGCTCGTCGCAAGACTCGACAGGTCCGCATCGAAAATGCTCGGACGTGGCGATTTGAGAAGATGAGCCTCAGCACGTGCTTCTTTGTATCGAAGGTACCATGCTGGGTATTGTTCCTGGTGGTAGCTCGAGCCCATTTGAGATCGTCGTTGGCCAGGCAGGGTTTGCCCGCCGTATCCAAGTAATCAAGGCAATGTAGGAGGAAGACGATGTGGAGGTCCACACTATTCGCAGTACTGGTGTTTTTGTCTGATTGAAATTTGGAAGTGTCGCCTTTTGCACTAGTGCCGTTCCCATCTTGTGCAATCTCTTTTTTTTCCTTTCTGTCATGCGGAAGATCTTAATGCCCGGTAGTCGGGACAACGCCTCAAAAGTAAGTAGTGCCCTGCACCATTTGTACATTGATGAACATTCCATCCAAAGTCTGAGACAAGTTATTAAATGTTGGCTTGAATTATGACCTGAAAGGAGCGCAAGCAGTTTTCCCCAGTATGTCGGCTTATCCGATCACTAACCACCCGGAGGTGAAGCTGGTGGTGTCTACAGTAAGGTAACTTCCGTAACGTAGGCAAGTGGGTGACATACTCGATTCCCACCTCGAAGATGTCCTAGCTCTTTCCCCTATTCCGCCCTTTTTGATAAAGTATTCCGCAATAGGTATCTGAAAGATAAAAGTAACAAGAGAACTTTGAAACATGAAGAATACGAAAACCAAGAACAATCTAAGCTAAGAGCGTATTATAATATTCGATTGACCGTCATCCTATTTTGTCACTGACTTGCTTGGATACCTCAGCCTGTACTAATCATCGCCTGTGCTCCTCCGCAATGGCCAAGGAATGATCCTCTCTTACCAGCCGAAAGACGATCAGATGGGTTGCAAAGTGGTAAAGTTGAACTTGGCCTACTGCAGGCAACAGGAAAAAGAAATTGTGCTCAGTGGCGATCGATTCTCTGCCAATCAACGCCCTGGCTGATGACTGCATGCAGGCCCAATCAACCAGGCTACAGGAGTGATAAGAGCAGGATGCGTTTCCCCCTCACCCAAGGCAGGTAGCCTGATTTCTTTCTCATCACAATTGCAAGTCTAATTTCAACATCAACGACCATGGAGCCGGTTGGATTAGCCGTCGGAATCGCTGGGCTCGCGGGTATCCTTAGTACTTGTCTAGATGTCATCGAGAGAGTCGACATTTATAAAGATTTCGACCGTGATTCACGTTCACTCGCTGTCCAGTTCGATGCGGAAAAGCTTCGTCTCAAGAAATGGGCTCACGATGTCGGGTTCAGGCAAGGAAAGCTCCCAAACGACCATCACACCGCTCTGGATGACCCGCAGGTCCGCTTGATGGCAGTAGAGCTGCTTGGTGTCATCAAGGCAATCTGTGGTGACGCAAAAACATCGGAACTCGGGCTGGATGAAAATTCAGCAACCGTCACTCGCGGCATCCAATCCCTTCCAAAGTCATCAGAATCAAGGAGGCAAAAGCTTTTTTGGTCCTTGAGGGGCAAGGCTAGACGCACTTCTCAAGTCGAAAACCTCGGAGTTCTCGTCCAGCATCTGCACAACCTGGTTCCTCCCGATAGTTCATTTCCAGGTGGGGAAGCTACCAAAAGATCCAATGAGACTTATCCTTCTGGAATAGGTGTGTCTTTACGCCCGCGTTCCCTTGAGCTCAAGCACAGTTCGAGCATCGGCTGTCAATACTGGAGACAGCCTAGTTGTATTATCTCGATATCGAATTGTTACATACGAAAGTTCACGATCAAACCAATCTGACAAGACCATCTGGCTTAGATGACGAAATTGAAAAACAGACGTGGCTTCGTGAGCTTCGACAGACCTTGTCTCGGTTGGAAAGGGAGATGGAAGGTACATCGAGATTCTTCAATTTAACTTCCCAAAATACTGCGCTTAAGACTGACGCCGGTGACTGCAGCCGAGACTCGGCGAGACCTCAGGGCCTGGGTAGCATGCCCGCCGCCGAACGATCTCTTCTCTGAAGCCAAGGAGAAAAAGCTCGATGGGACGTGTGATTGGATTGTTGACCGTCTCGAATTTGTCGAGTGGCTTGCTCTAGACGAAGCGTGTAGAACCATCAATACCGAAAGGCTTCTGTGGGTCAATGGGCCCGCAGGGCTCGGAAAAACTGTTCTATGCGCGAGCATCGTCGAACACTTGAAAGAGATATCCCAGAAGCCTGTGGTCTATTTCTTTCTGTCGTCTGAATTCGAAAGCCGCGACAACCCCTACGCAGCGATTCGAGCATGGGTTTACCAGATGGCATCGTCTGACCAGATTACCTACCAGTTGGTGCGAGAAAAGTGGCTAGCTCAAAACGAACAATTCGCCACCGAGACAGAAATCGTCAGTATCTTTCGAGAAATTTTGCAAGTCGTACCTGGAGCCATCTTGGTCTTGGATGGCTTGGATGAGTGTACTTGGTTGGGGAAGGCTCCGCATGACGGGAAGTCCTTGAGGAGGTTTCTCAACACCGTGATTGGGGCAATGACCAACACGGCATCTCGCCTCCTAGTTGTCAGTCGGGACGAGCCTGAGATCCGAAGTGCTATGATGTGCTCAAAAAACTGCGAGGAACTCAAAATCGATTCTCAAGACGTGCAATCCGACGTTGCTCGATACTCAAGAAGTATTGTCGACAAGAAGCTGCCGAGAAAGGACGAAGCAACTAGAGAAGGTGTCTCCAAGATGCTTGCGGATCGGTCCAATGGCCAATTCCTCTGGGTCAAGTTACACGAAGATTCCTTGCGCAGCTGGAAAAACAAGAAGCAACTTGAGGATGCGATCAATGAAATACCATCTGGACTTGATCATGTTTATGAACGAAATTGGACACGCATTTCCAGACTACCAGACCCGATCCGTAAACGTGCCTATTCTCTATTACAATGGGCGGCTTTTGCTCTGCGGCCCTTGACCGTCAACGAAATCTCCGAGGCTATGTTGATCGACGAGGAAGATTTCAACTTCCCTGAGCATGAGTTGCCCGATGAAGTTGATGACGACTTTATTGAAAGCGAGATACAAAGCCCCTGCGGCTCGCTTTTGGAAGTTCGAGGATCTTCGGATTCTAACAGGGGGTCAAGGACGGTGCACTTGACTCACTTCTCAGTCAAACAACATTTTCTTTGCAACATTTCATCTCAATCGCTATCGATTCGCATGAACAGTCAAGTCTCAAACGAGCTTCAACAAAACAGCAGGCTAGCAAAGCTTTGCCTTCGCTACATCAACAGTCAATACTTCTGGGACTTTGAAGAGAAGATCAATTCGACGGTTCAAATGGAAAGCACCCAGGAAGAAAACCTTCAAGTGAGCGTCAAGGGGTCATTCCGACACTACGCCGCGAGTTCATGGTATCAGCATTCCACCGTCGGTTATGAGGAAGACGAAGAACTGACAGAGCTCATGATGAGTTTGTTCGATGAGCTCAATCCCAGTTGGGAAATGTGGCGTGACTTGTTTGAGAAGTACAGCGTAGAGCTCGGTTTGGGAGCTGATTCATCAGCTGAACCTCACCACGCTAGTCCTTTACACTACGCTGCCCGTCTTGGCTTCACTGAGCTTGCTTCCTGCCTCATCCACGACGAGAAGCATCATGTGAATGCCAAGGCGCCGTTTGGTAGAACAGCTCTGGAGATTGCAGGCAACGCTGGAAATTTGACACTCTCAAAGATCCTTCTAGATGCGGGGGCCGATATTTCAATGTCGAATCACACAGGGTCGACACCTCTCATCGAAGCTTCGTATTATGGAGCCTATGAAATTATTGAACTCCTTCTCGATAGAGGCGCAGACTGCGAGAAAACAAGTAATTACAATTGGACGGCACTACACGTAGCTTCCTACTACGGCCATCTCGACGTCGTTGCGTTGCTGCTTAGAAGGGGAGCTAACGTCACTGTTGCTAACGATGGCGGTTGGACACCACTCAATGTGGCCTCTCACTGCGGGCACTTCGATGTTGTT